GCCTGGTTCTGCTGGATGTTTCTTCCTGTTAAAAGGGAGTTTTTCCTTCCCACTTTTGCCAAAGTGCTTGCTCATAAGGGGTCATATGACTGTTGGGTTTTTCTCTGTATGTATTATTATAGGGTCTACCTTACAATATAAAGCACATTGAGGCGACTGTTGTTGTGATTTGGTGCTTGAATTAGTTTCAGGAGTTGGTGGAGATGAATATTGGGTTTATTATATTTTTCTTGTAGCCAAAACCACCAAAACTCGTATGTCATAAAAGGTCTGTGAGGGAATTTGATGTTAAATACAGTTTATCCTGCTGCCTTTAATCGCAGTGCTATTAGGACTACGCAAGAGCTGTAATGTATAATGCAATATATAATCTGTGACAGTCTTAAAATCAGTTCCATCGCTGCAAAGCACTCAGAGTAATGGAGATAAACGGCTTTGTGAAATTAGAAAAGTCATTTAAATCTAATCTGTCCCCTCTCTGATCTGAAGACGCACCACACATCTGTTAGGATGCTCATGTTTTTGTGTGTTATCTCTCAGATGCACGACTCGCCCCCGGCATTCCAGACACCCCGAGCAGACTGGTGTTTTCTGCACTGGGACCAACGGCCCTCAAAGTCAGCTGGCAGGAGCCCCACTGTGAGAAAGACATCCTCGCATACTGCGTCCTCTACCAGCTCCTCAACGGAGGTAAGTGCAAGGAGCACAACGTTAATGTGGAAGAGCGAGAACAGGATGTGCGTGTATTCACTTCCTGTTTATGGAGGCAGTTGACATCTTCTCCGATGGTGATGCTGACCACGCTCTGCTCCCTGTAGGTGAGATGAAGCGTATCAACGTGACAAACCCGGCAGAGAACTCGGTGATCATCCAGGACCTGCTGCCAAATCACTCCTACCTGTTTAAGGTGAAGGCTCAGAGCCAGGAGGGCTGGGGTCCGGAAAGAGAGGGCGTCATCACCATCGAGTCTGCTGTCGACCCCAAGAGCCCCCTCAGCCCTGTGCCAGGTGCTCATTCACTTATCAGTCCACAAAAACAACGTCTGCTTATCTTAACAAAGGCACTCGATCTAATATTTCTCCTTCCTCATGCTGTCGCTTGTCACTTCTTCCTCCAGGTTCGCCTTTCACTCTTAGCACTCCCAGCGCTCCAGGACCTCTGGTGTTCACAGCTCTGAGTCCTGATTCGCTGCAGCTCAGCTGGGAGAAACCACGCAAGCCCAACGGAGAGATCCTGGGATATGTAGTCACCTGCGAACAGCTGCATGGCGGAGGTGAGGCTTTCTGCACAAAGGTCACTTGCAGTAAAGCTGTTACATTTTAAATTGTGCGAATTTGGTTTGACCTCTGTTTCCTGTTTCCTGCAGGTGATATGCGTTCCTTCCAGGTGAACAGCGATGGCGCTGAAACCAGTCTGACCGTTCCCAACCTGACTGAGAACATGCCCTACAAGTTTAAGGTCCAGGCTCGAACCACACAGGGCTTCGGTCCGGAGAGGGAGGGCATCATCACCATTGAATCTCAGGATGGAAGTAAGATAAAGCCCGTACTGACAGATTGGCGTCTGATATTAATTTTAAAAATACAACAAAAAAACTCCCAGCGGTTGTTGCTAGAAGCTGAAATAGACAAAAAGCTGATCCCCTCGGAGGGATGAGCGTAAATGTCAGTCTCTTTGTCTGTATTGGAGTGCAGGGCAGCTTCTGTCCAGAGTTGACATTTTAGACTGAGGCTATGCAAGAGCAAACATTTTGGAGTTATGTAACAGGAATATGCTCGATGAATTTTAAAGCTGGTACCAAAAAAGATCCATCTTCTGGGAACCTCTGGGGTAATTTATGATCCTCTCAGTCAAGGAGAAATATTGGCATGACTGTGGCGCAGCAAAGGTGCAGAGGTCTCTGTAATCCATCAAGAATTAATAGAAATTTGTCCAGCGATTCTTACTTTTAGCATAAATTGACAGAAATTATCATTTCCATGAGTTAATATGCATTTTTAAATGTTAAAAACTTAGATTCAACATTAAGAAAGCAAGCTTTTGTTGTGCTGCTTTGCACAATAGAAGTTATTGAGTTAAATCTGAAGATTGACAGGTGCTTGTTGACCTCAGGGTTCCGCTTACAGATAGGGAACCTTACATGACACCCAAAAGAGGAACGCGATCCAGCCCACTGGAAGGCTTTACAAAAAAAACTCCCATCATTAAAGGTACCGTTGAGGTCACCAAATGTCGTCTTTATGGGGGAATGAGTTACAGGGCGTCCACACAGGAAGCAGTTGGCTAGTTGCACATCTTGTTGTGCTCGATGGTTAGCTAGAGGACATTGTAGAGTCAGATTGCCTAGATAACTTTCTGAGGTGTTCATTCTTTTTGGCTTTAGTCGCTCACCTTGAAGTTGCAGCATTATTTTGGTAGCTGTTCAAAGTCACTGACGGTCTCTTCAGAGCAGAGCAGCGGTAACTGTCAGATTTGATCAGCATTTCCTGTTTGGCGATCAACATGTGGATGTCCTTATTTGAGGAACTAAAAGTAGATCCTGATTTGGGTTATTTTAAAATATAAGCTGAAACAGTTTTTAAAGAGGCGTGAGACATGCTCTTCTTTGTACTACTGTTTGGGCGCCATTTACATTTTTTTGTCTACATTTTCTGGGGTTTGAGGTTTGCGTGTGCTCCTGGGTTTTATGAATTTTTACACAGTGTAAATACCTGTATTTCAAAAAAAGTTATATGTCTTATGTTGAGGAGATATCAGCTAGGTTGATCCTAGAGTTGGGCTTTGCTTTTGTGTAATATCACTTTATACCACAAGATGGTGCTGTTAATTATTATAACCTTTATTTAACCAGGCAAGCCATTAAGATAACATTTTTGTTCATAAAGGCAGCCAGCCAAAGCATAACACCTCCTAATATTTCAGAAATTAAACAACAGCGCACATTTCAGCTACATTTCAACACCACTTGTAGAATGCTGCCCCCTGGTGGTGAAGGTTTGGTTAAAATACCTTTAAAAGCTCATGTAGGATGAAGCATTGCAAATTAGCTTAAGCTTATATGATAATGTATTGCTCAATGCATTTCTGTCACTCCTTCTTGGAGATAACAGACTTCTCATCCATCTGTTTTTGTCCTTCCTTGCCTGTAGGTGCTTTGTCCCAGCACAGCAGCCAGTCGATGACACGGCGGGAGGTTTTCCACATGCCAACGGAAGTCAGCACACGAACTAACATCTCCCACACCGTGCTCGACGACCCCTTCTTCTCAGGTACAAAAATAATAAACTAAGCTTCATTTCTCTTCTTTTTAAAATGGGATGTGTTCACTGACTGTTATGTACCACTGTCTGTCCAACAGATGGGATGATGATGACTACGCAGCACACAGAGACTAGCGGCATGGTGACTCGTCAGATCACCAAGGAGGTGGTTCAGAGGGGCGTCATGGGAGCAACTACTGTCACAAAGAAGATGTTTTATGAATCTTAAAGGGCGCGTTTGACAAACTGGCATCCAAGTGTTCGACATAATGAGAAATCATATTTGAGAATCTCTTTTAAAAAGAGTCGACTTCACAGTGCTGAGAGTGTTTTTGTATATGTGCGAGGGGGTGTAGCTTTCACTTTGCAACCAAAATTACATTCCACATAAGAACTCGTGTCTGTTACAATCTGCCGTCATTTTCTTCTATAAGTTCAGTTTGTTTTAACATATCCATACGTATCAAATATCAAGCTAGGTCTATGAACTCACTTTGTGTTGCACATTTCCTGCTAACGAGGAAAAAGCCTGATTCTCTACTGCAGGCACATGATCAAAAATATACAGGATGTAACATGTTTTTGTATCTCATACATTTGAATTAAGTTGGTATTTTTCATGCTTAAAGTTTTTCTTCTCCCCGTGTGTTTAGCATTTTAAGAAGTTTTTGACAGTAAGATATGTGTACGGTCGTCCTGAGTTACAAAACAGATGCACACACAAAAAAATAACAAGAAAATAAAACCATTTCACTTTGCCTAAAAATTTTGGGACACCATTTTTTAAATGGAAGGAGTCCTAGCCCTTGAAACAGCGGAAGATATTGCAGTTATTAGGGAATATTTTCACAAAGGATATTTACCATTCAAACCCTGAAATCAAGAATTAGGCCTGAGCATAGAGGCATGAGGAAATCTGCATTTGTAAGAAAGCAAGGTGCTCCCTATAAACAGTAAAATAGTATTTGTTGCATTTAAGAGTGATAAGGATTTTTAACTATCCATACTGCCTGTTGCCTGTTGTTTTTTGCTTTATTTTGTATTTTGCATCTTCAGGCCCCCGTACAAATGTGTGTAAAGACAGAAAGATTGTATTTGCTTCTACTGCAAGTGCTACTATGTTTGGCTTTATATTTTCTTTGAAAATGCTTTTGTGAAACATTTTTGAGGGAAGCTCCTTGGTAGGAAAATGGATAAGTGGATAAACGTCTCACCAAAAAACATTTTCAGTAGTTTTCCTGTTCTTTCGATCAATTATGTATCTCTTACTTTTTAACAGTTGAACTTTTATTATTTTATTTTTCAACTATTTTATTGCACATAATAAAGATTTGAAAGGATTTTGTGCTGGCTGATGGTTTGTGCAAACTTGTGCAAAAATAAGTGAACCAAAAATAATACAAATGCAACTCCTGCAGGTTTAGATCTCACCCTGGGTCAACCTGAATCAAATGCTTAATTCATTACCAGGCCTCTGGAGAACTTCAAGACGAGGTGACGTGTCTAAAATCTGCAGGACACTGGCCCTTGAACGCCTTGAGTACCCCCATCCCTGCTCTAGAGGAAACAGTGGGTAACAGGGAAGAACTTATAGTCAAAATTTGAGAACCCTTCATCCAAATTAGGTCAAAATCAGCACTAGACTTGCTTGCATTCATAGCAGCACACCCACCAAGTCTGAAGCAGATCAGATCCACTGCTGTTCGCACGAGCAAAGAAGAGACAACAGACTTTCAGAGATTTCTGGAATTAATAGTAAGATTTATTGAGCTAGAGAGAGGAAAGCATTGCCATGTCTTATATAGCACAAATAAACAAAAACACAGCTGCAAAAACAAGCTCATGCCTGAAAAATGTTTGCAGGAAGCTTGAGACAAAGAATTCAAATAATCTATAATTCAACTAGAGGCATGCGGCAGCCCGCTCTGCAAATATCTGCCTCGTCAGCGGCACTGTTTCACTGCACTGAAGCTAAAAGTATCATCATTCACAGTGCGCTCATGCTGTAACTTTTTAATGTTTATTTGTCATCAACAATTAAAAAAAATGTAAAAAAAAAAATGAATGGATGTAACATTACAGGTTTAAACTGATCCCCAACTTTATCCAATGAAGTTTGAGAGGAGTTTAAACCCATGGGGAAAAACGTTGTTCATTCTTTAAATGCTCATTTTTAAAATATAAAGAATCAGATACTGTATGTTTCTATGAAGGCAGAGTAACAGGAAAGTGTTTAGCAGATGGACATGTCGAAAGAAGAGCAGTTCCTGTTTGGGATTTGACGAGGCACCTCACAGAAAGACTTTTAGTCCAGAAACAGCCACGCGATTCTAAATCAGTAGAATAAAAGCGTGAGCTCTGTGAGCTGCCGAGGATTAGGACTGATCCGTTTCAGTTCCAGAGGCAGGGCCCCGGGCACAGGCACCGCTGTTTCGCATCAGCAGGCCTGATCACCAGGTCTTTGACCACCTCCACAGTCCCAAAAACAGGGTACAGTTCCTCTGTGAACTTCTCGGTATAGGTGTACAGGTGGGAGCGCTTCTCCACGTCGTAGAAGGACAGCTGGCCCTGCTCATAGTCCAGATAAATGCCGACTTTCCTGGGCACCAGGCTTTGAGGTAAAGGCGTAGCGGGCACCGTCAGGGCTTTCAAATCTGTGCCTCTCTCCAGACGGAGGGTCAGGTATCCCGTATCTGTGTTCAGCGAGCAGAAGCCCTGCCTCACGGCCGAGGCTTTGGCCACTCCCAGCCGCCAGTCCCGCTCGCCCACCTCCACCTCCCAGTAGTGGCGTCCAGAGGCGTAGCCCTCCTGGCCCACAGCACACCACCAGCCATCGAAGCGTCGGGGGCATCGTGGGATGTCGCGGCGCTCCAGGCCGCACCGCATTCGTTTTTCATCATCTGAGATGAGCAGGCCTGAGTGGGCCGATTCGGAGTCCAGGGTGACGTCCTCTGTGGAATAAAAGGGCGGGATTACAAACTGCAAAATGATGTCACAGTAAGGTGAAAAACAGAAAAGAGATTTTCATACCTGCTGCATCACAAATCCAGTTCCACACTGCAAAGAAAAAGAAGAGAAACTCCGTTAGCTCATTGTTTTGTACAGTAGTTTAAAGAAGGCATGCAAAATTTACCTTCACACGATAACACACAAGCAACTTACATCCACCCCACTGTACTCAAAGCCCTGAAGTACAAAGGGGGCTGAAGTACTTGTGAAGTATTACTTTATAAGTATAAATATAACTACATGTAATTTCAAGAGCTGAAAAACACATTAATGCTTTGTACAAAAAAAATGCAACCAAATGAATTTTACGCCCACTCCCCTCACAGCCGCTGTGATCCACAGCCTTCTGTGTGCCCACTGGAAACATTTTGAAAACTAGTCCACGGCTTAAAGTTGTTCAGTGTGATCGGTCCCAACTATTATACAGAGCATGAAAAGTCCAATGTATGCATGAGTGTTCAAATATGACTATATGTGCAATTTCTTTTGACAAAAAGAAGAATAACAGCTACAAAATGAGCCCAATATCAACATGGAGGTAAAAGGAAAACTCTTTCTTGTCACAGCACTTTGTTAGGTTTACCATTATTATTCTCATTATTTGTTTCTGTTATTCTGTGCCATATTTACATTAAAATGGTGCAGTTTTTAAACTAATATATATTCTATGATACAGGTGCTCCAAGGTGGTTGTAGGAAAAAAATCCTGCTGAACATAAGCTAGAGTTTTGGATCTAGTTTATGACATTTGGCATAAACATTTTTTCAGTTAATGTTATGTGTCTGAGGATTTCAGAAAGAGCTGAGGCTACAGTTCACACAGACTGCTCAAAATTGTAAAATAGAAGAAAGGGAAAATGTTGCCTGGTCTGATAAGTCTCCAAATTTGAGTTAAGCAACATAAAGGATGGATCAATCCTGCCTTGTATCAACAGTTCAGGTTGTTACTGGTGGTGTAATGTTTTCTTGTCACGCTTTGAGCCACTTTGTGCCAACTAAGCAGCCTGTCAACCTGAGGATGGGTGGCTTCCTCTATGACTACCCTATACCCATCTTCAGACGACTGCCTCCATGTCAAAACGCTCAAATCATCTCAAATCTGTGTCTTGAGCATAGCTTCACTGTACTCAAAGGCCTCCACAGTCACCAGCCAACAGTCAGACTGTACTGACATATAGTAAAAGTGCATAATCCAGTGGCGAACCATTAAAAAAAGACTGCATTTGCTAATAATCGAGTTTAAAGTTTATCGTTACATACTATAGATTTCAGATCATATAATCCAGCCCCACATGTCTGTATACAGCTATACAGAGACATTAAAGGGGTCATTCATTTATTTATTACAGTGAGCTTCTGGACTTACCGCCGTGGGGAATGTAGCGCACAGCGTCTGAAAGAACAAACAAAGACTGATTAAAGACAGACAAGTGTTCCACTCACAACTCAAACCCTCCTACCAGCTTGTTTCCTAACATGCTTCCAATCACATTTTTATAGATTAATTCTAATTAAATATTCAGTGGAGTGTATTCTGTTACCACACACAACAGCCACATCACCGAGTGACTCGTTTCACATCCTGATTTTGCCAAGTGGTTTTTGTGCTGACACCAACATTTTGTAGGTCACCCACTCAGTCGTCTGTGAGGCTTTATAGCTGCGCCTCACTTCAGCCTAGTCGGCTACGTTTTATTTTGGCCTTAGCTCTGAAGTCAGGGTTAGTCAAACTATGATCATCAAATATTATTTTCGCATTATTTTAATTACATAGAGAAAGATAAAAAGGTCATCAGTTTTAGCTGGTTGTAACCCGGGCAACTGAGCCTATGAAAAGTAAGACTGCCTCATCATGGAAAAATGCTAATCCTATGAGCTAATATGTAATTTAACAAAAGCCACTTTCAGCTGCTCCTTTATTCACATGGGGTCACACGGCAGGTGGCCCTTTCCTGTTGGAACCTCTCAAGGATTTATGTCTCACCATGATAATAAATGTGTACTAGTGATAAACAGGTCTGAACACCTTCACACTGGTCTAAGCTTTAAACTGACCATTAGACTAATGGTAGAATTACTGCAAAGCTAGAATATTCTTTATTTATTTGATGAACTTCTTGTTTTAAAATGTGAAGTAAGTGACTAAGCCCATAAATTTATTAGGAAAATAATTACTGAGGTCTTGGGCTGTGATATATAATATAGACACTGATAATATCTGTGTCGTGTCAGCCTCCGATGACTTCTTTCACCGCTTCAGGCAAAAACTGGATAAACTGAGGAAACTGGATACAATGCTGCTGCTGCTGCACCGTGTTTCAGCAGACTCACACTTCTAATTAGGTAGTGTGTCATAAGTGACAGTAGCTCATTGGAAACTGTTCTTCAGTCATTAATATTTATAAATGCTGCAAAGCTGCAAGCATCAAAGAAACATTCAGTATTTTTTCTGTATTGTCAGAAATGTCGGTATCACAAATGTTCTGGAAACTTTGTGATATAGCTTTGAGGCTATAACGCTGAGTCCTACCCAGACACTGCTTCTTCTACAGAAGGCATGTCAGTGTGACTGAGGAGACCCTCAAAGTATTCCTCAACTGCAGCGGTGTGAGCAGAGCGGAATCGCTTCAAGACCAACCAGAAATCTTGTTCCATGGCCTCGCCGGACTCCTCCCACACCTGAGAGTTTGCTTGAACTGCTGCCAGAGCCACACTCTGCTTGGCGTGCCACTACATGACAGCTGCCTCTGGAGTCCCGCAGGAGAACCAAGCATCAATCACTGACCTGCGACCAGGTTTGTTTGAGTGTCACCTGCACTTGTGAACACGGTGTTTGTTATGGACAAACTGTGATTTGTCCAGAGAACATAACAGAGAACAGGCGGTTCCTCCCAGTCATGCTCCTCCAAGTCTCACTGTCCATGCCCATGTGAACATTAGTAGCACAACGGAGATTCCAGGTGGGGCACTCAGACACACTAAGAAGACTAGGTACTCTGAAATGTCACTGAGTAAATAAGGGCAAAAGGCAACCAGGACCTGTTTACTGGCCCAAGGACAGGAGGAAGTAACCCTCTCATCCACTGGGATGAGAGGGTTGAGCCTGAGCTAGTGCACGAGGCTAAAAATATCCCAATATTTTTTTTCTTTCAGACGAACAAAACAAAAACAGATTTATCTAACATTTGTCAAGCATATTTATCTACTTGTTCACTTTCTGCTTGACTCAGTAGTGGTATACTTTTACAATACCACCAGAATAACATATAAAAAAGATAAAGACCCCATTCTTCATAATTTAATTAATTAAACCAAATGTATTGTCATTTTATTCCCTACTTTATTTTCATTGGCAAGGATGGGGAGAATCCCTTTTTTCACATGTGCAGAACAAGTTTTTGGTCGAAGCAGCAACAGGTATTGTACAAATGTTGGTTTCTGACTCATGACCACTTTGCAAGATCAGGATGTTTTGTTTCATATTGTTAAACTGGATGAGATCCACTCACCAATGTTCTGACTTTTCTGCTTCTTCACCAGCCACTGCTTTGTCACATCCACCTACAAAGACACGCACACACATACAGAGTATGTCAAGGTAGACAGTGGACACATTCAGGACAAGGTGAGCTGAACAAAGAGATAAACAGATTAGCATGATTGTCGTGCAGCCTATATGCAGCATGCTTGACACACTTAGCCCAGATATCGAATGTGAGAATGTCATGCAAGTGTCATTCATGTTTCGAATCACCTAAGTTAGCATGCTTCTTATCCCATAAATTACACCACAGAGTACAAAAATATTTAATGACGATCTCTTAGCGACAGATATCAAGACCTTTATGGGGCTGTCGGCGTTCAGCACGGCCAGCATGACGAGCTCCATGGCCGGGAACAGGTTGGGCAGACGGCCCCTCTTCCACTGGAACTCCAGGTCATCCAGCATCATGAGCACAGGCTCACCTGGCCACACAGTGGGCTGAAAAAAGAGGTTTAGAAACAGTTGCTTCGAATTTATGGCCAGAGCTCAAGCACAGTCCGATTATCATGAGATCATTGTCAATGGCACGATTAAGCCTAATCATCTTTATCAGATGCAACGACGGAACTGGGTCAGACTTTAATAACCATCCATGTCCCGTAAGAAAGTCACCTGAGGTCTGCCTTTAATATTCCGGGTCCAATCCATGATGACCCGTTTATGGGGGCCCATGTCGTACTCGCCGCCTCCCTCAAGCATGCAAAGAAGGTGTCCCTTCCAGTCCTTCTTCTCAGACTTCTCATACTGGTAGTCTGATGTGATTGTCCTTGGCTGAATAAAGAATAGAGACTTTTAAGAACATCCATAAAAAACACAATTTATTTCTGTAAATGGCTGCTATCTCGTACCTGCACTCTTTTCTCCAGCACAGCAGCCCATTCCACGATGAACTCCCGGCACACGCTGGCTGTCCAGATGTCCTCTCCGGTCCAGATGTGACACAGGATATTTGATCTCTGAGGTACAAAGGCAATGTGAATAAATGCAGAAGACTCTAAGTAATAAAGAGCAAAAAGGGAGAGAGGAGAAGAGCTTACCTGGCAGATTCTGTTGAGTTCCCGGGCCAGCTCCATAATAAACAACTGACTTTCCACCAGAGGCTCCTTCTTCTCAAGCTTCACTTTTTTGCGAGACTCCTGGAGCAAAGAAACAGAAAATTAAAAGGGAAAAGAACATCATGACTTCCAGAACATTTAGCCCCCGCAGCAATTACTGTGGGAGGATTTGTATACCTTGAGTCGGATCTTGAGCTTTTTGGCTGGCTCGATGAGGAACTGCAGGCACTCTTTCATCATGCTGGCAGCTGGAGTGCGGGGCCGATGCCCTGTGGTATGATAATAAAAAAGCTTTAGCACGCTGGCACTCATTCTGTCAAGAGCTGGAGCTGACTGCACTCCGTCGCCCACACAAATCGATGAGGGTGCAGAAATGGCTAACGCGCGAGAAGGTGGCAAAAAGGTGAGGTGGCGGAGAGAGGAGCACTCACTGCAGAACTTTTATCACAGCTCTGCACTCAGAGTCCACAGAGAGCTCATTAAGATCCCCACCGAGCTATCATTAGGTGTTGAGCCCACTCGCTCAGCCCACTCACTCCGCATAGATATATATATATCCATGAGACCACACAGTGGGTGGCAAACAGAGATGTAGCAACATTAAAAAAAATATTGCACAGTAACAGGATTTCCTGCATGCGTGTGGATCGATGCATCCTGAAAGTGGGAATTTATTCCCATGGAGACGTGAGCACAGCAGAGCGCTTTTAATAAAAACACTGTGGAGCCATGGTGGGGGTGGAGGAGGAGGAGGAGGAGGGGTGGGGGGGGGTCCTTGGACCAGTTTGCTGTTGAATCAGCAGTCAGTCTGACAAGCAGAGGGGATTTGCTGTTCTTGCTGTGATGTAGAGGCAGCAGGAGAGCTACAAAAAAAAAAGAAAAAGAAAAGAAAAAAGGAGGCAACAAACACTGAGGAGCACAAACTCAGGACTGAGTTGACCTTTTAGAGAGCAAATTCTGACATTCATAGGTATGCCTGCTTTCTGCCTATTGAGTATGCATATGAATTTCTTCCACCCGCATCCCTGAACTGTTAGAAACGGTTTTATGGAAAGGGGGTTGGAATCAGTTATACAGTGTTATTCAACTATAACTTCCAATCAACTCCCTTCTATAATTTTTAAACATTTATTTACACCATCATGAGTTTGCGCATGTCTGATACCAACACCAACCACACTAATCCATCTTGATTTGTAGTATTTATTAATCTCTCTTTCACTATATATGAGGGCAGCAGATGTCAAAGCGTTGCTTGTCTGTAACTGACTCATGTTTGGATGGTGGGTTTATTTCTGGCAGCGGAGGCTGAGCGTGTAGGTGACAGAGGAGCTGCAGGATTAGAGGAAATCCGGGATTATCGGTGCTGTACAAACGCAGGTAGTGACTTTCTATATTGGGAGTGAGTGACAAATCACTGCATGCAAGTTGGCATCAGAACAAACACACTGCACAATAACAGGCTCACGTTACCGTACAACAGTGTATCCATACACACCGAATTTAATTATTTGTTCCCAATTTGTAAAATATTATTCTTAATAATAAATAGAACAGAATTTCGAAATGCCAGTGTTGTAAGGTTAAAAAATGAGGCCTCTTGCACATGAAGCGATGTTTACAAAAAAGGACATAATCAAAGCAAGCGCACACATTATTCCATGTAATTAGGCCCTGTGCACTGGCAAAATGCAACCAGTTTACCAGTTGTTTTTTTATCACCTCGCTCTAGAGGGAAATAAATAACACCTCACCTTGTAACGGATAAATTCCCTTCAGGAAGAAAACTCTACGCGGCTTTTCTGTGATGCTTTCGCGAAACTCGGTTTAATTTTTTAGTGCTCCGCCATCCTCCACAGCCTCACCGCTTCCTTCACCCATCCACAACTGCGGCACGAGACAGCGCGCGTGCTCTTATCAACCACCGCCTCCACTGAGCGGCAGTTCCAAAGGCGGGCCGCTAGAGGCCGCCAACTAGCTTTACAGAAACGGAAGCGTCGCAGAGTTTTTTCTATTTAAAGATTAATTTACTTTTTTTTTTAGCCCGAAAATACATTTTATTTATTTATTCCAATTTAAGTAAGTCAGCGTTAAATAGTCTAGAAAGAGCACTGCGACAGCAAACAGCCTGAGGTGGACTCGAACACACGCCTTTGTTTACCAACGGAGATATTATAGGCGAGAGACGCAAAGTACTAAGGCTGCAAGATCACCGACCAAATAACTAATACTTGTCTGCCAAATGGTGAGCTTCGCTTCTAGAAGGACCTTGACTATATAAACTCGCTGGGTCTTTATTATCGTGTCCATAAAAATCTTAAATTAACGACTAAGATTCCGTTTGTCTGTTTTCTTTTCTTCCTTTATATTCCCGTAGCCTGTATAGCTTCTGTCACGTTTGAAAATATAAATATTAGCTACTGAAGTGAATGGTTGTAAACACGAACCTACAGTTTGTTTGGTCAACAAGGCGGGGTCTCTGAAGGCAGCACGACAGGTTTACTGTCAGTCAGTGCGCAGGTGTACGTGGTTATTATTTCAGGCGCTTGTGTTTGCAGGTTCAATATTCCTTCGCTATTTATTTAAAATAATAACTTAATGACAGCAACACATCGCCCGTCCTCGCTCACGGTCTCGGGCAGGTACAGTGGAACTGGAAGGTGTTTCTCGATATGTTAGCTTCACGGAAGTGTGTACACAGCGCGCGTCCCCAGAGCGTGCTTAAATGACAGGAGGATAGAAGCGGCGCGTCTCTTATCAAGGACAGGCTCTGATCACAGCTGGACGATCAACATGGCACCCAAAGACCCTCTCCTTGGCTCCCTCAAAGGTAAGCATCAATAATAGATGAGTGATGGTACGATGCCATTGGATCACAATTTCAGTAAGCAGCTGATCGTGACGTACTCATAATAAAACGTACAACTAGAATTGGGTTTAATTTCTGACCCTGCAGCGCGCTATTTTTACGCCAAAAAAGCTTCCGCTACGTTTTTTTATCATCAACACAGTCTCTGTTTTAGTGTTGATGAGTGAAATGGCGATGATCACATGGCTTGCAAAAATGCAGTTATGTCATGCTGATGACAACAGATTCAATGTGTGTTGCGTGTTTTTTTCCCTTCCCACTCAGTGTGTGTCCTGAACCTGCAGTCAGATGGAGAGACGGTGACAGATTCCAACCCTCACCTCGCCTCCTGCTGTGAGCTGCTGGAGCTGGTCCTCAGGAAGGGACTCCAGCGTCAGTATCATTATTTTGTGTAGCTGAATTCATTTTGAAGGAGACTTCTGCAGTATTCACTCAGGGTGTGTTTCATTTCTCTCCAGAGCCCGTTCTTAGTCTGGTGCACAGAGATTACTGGCACTGCTTCGAACAGCTACCCCATCAAGATGCCTGTGGCAGGTAACTACATCCTGCTTAGTTTAGCAGATGGGGAAGGTTTTTTTGTTGTTTTTTTTAGTGACAGCTTCACTCATTAATGCCCGTCACCTCTCTGTCTGTCTTCTCCCGTGCAGTCTGTCTGCTCTGTCCTTGGCAGTTGAGCAGACCAGAGTTTGCAGGAAGCTGCTCTCAGCTCAGGGCCGAGGGCGCTACCTGCTCAGGCTGGCCCTCAGCCGCAAGGTCCTGCCGCAGTTCTTCACACACCTGCTGCACACTGCCAGACTCCTGGAGGTCTGATACATGGACAGATGCATTGTTCCCCAGTGTTGAGCACACAAAAATGGGATTTTAGAAAGTGTGTTTCTCTAACAGACTTGCATAGTTGTGATTAACATTGTTTCTCTTTCCTTCAGTGGTACAGCCCAGATTTATCAATTCTCAGGAATGAGGAATTTGTGGGTGAGGTTACAGCAGCTTGAACAAAACTGAGGAAGTTCTTGTCAACAACAAAATCTTAAGAGCTGCTGTTCTTCCTCTTCCAGAACCTTTCATGTCGCTGCTGCTGGTGCTCTCACACATGGACTTCAAACTGGACATGGAGGTCAGAGCTGCTACTGTGATTTTTTTCCAATCACTTTGAACTCCAATCTAATAAGAATTTTCTTTTCTTGTATACAGAATTGCAGTTTTCTGGATGAGAGCTGGCTCCTGCCGGTAAGAGCATCACAGTAACACTGTTATTATGTTATTTGTCTTTGGATATTATATAAATCCATAGAAGGAAAAAAAAACTACAATCTTAAGGAGGTGAAAGACTGACTGCTGGCTGTTTGTTTTTAGGTGTGTGAGATATACGAAGTTGTGCCCTGCCGGGAGGTAGGGTTGGTTCTGAGGTTAGTATGTTCCAGTCTACAAATATTTCCATTACACTGAGCACGTGGGCTAGTAAAAAAAACATCTATGGATCTGCTTCTTAGGTATCTCAGCGGGCGCGTCTTTGTTCTTGACCTGATTCCCGGCAGTCAGGCTGACGTCGACAAGTTCATCGGTGCTGGTGACATCCTCGATGAGATCAATGGGACCTCGCTGAGGAATTCTAAAAGTGGACATGTGAGAAATCCCTCAGATATACAGTGTCGTACTGCATTAGGGCTGTTGTGATATTGGATTTTCATGACACAATTATCCAGCAAAACGAATTCATGTTAAATATATCATGCAATATCCGTGGATATTTCGTGTTTGTGGATCATCTATATTTTGATAAATGCCTTAGATCCAGGTGGGGCAGTCTCCGTGAATTATGTTTTGCAGATGATGACATTGTGACCTATAGTGAGAGTCTGGAAAGATGGAGGTACGCACTATAAAGGAATGAAAGTTGGTGGGAGCAAAATGGAATACATACATGTGATGAGAGGGAGACAGATGGAAAAATAGTGCACAAGGGAGGTGAAGAAGACAGTGCAGGCAGGGTGGAGTGGGTAGAGATGAATGTCGGGGAGGGATTTTTGACAGGATAGCAGCAAGAGAGTATTGATAGATAAATATAGATAGATGTAGATATTTAAGCTTGAGCTGCCAGGCGGGATGCAAAGGTGCTGCATATATATATACACTTCTTTACCAGACCTTTTTTACTTGCACTCCCAGGCCGGTGCAGTTCTGTCTCGGTTTAAAGGCTGCCCTTTGTCCATCCGTGTTATAAGATGGAGGGCCCACGACGGAACAGTGTATAGACCCCTTATCAAATTCCTGCGGGCCCTGAGGACAGAGAACCCCACCCTGCAGCTGGGTCCTGCTCCCTCCCAGGAGACAGCAAGCAGAGACCAGAAGCCTCCTCCATCACAGTGTCTCAAAGAGGGAAGGCAAGTGTTAACACGCCATCGCTGCGATCTGTATTCAAGCTGCCGTCATGATGTGACATTTGAGAAATACATTCTGAACAACCTCTGTTCCACAGGATTGTTTACATAGTGCAATTCTTGGGAAAGGCAAACATTGGAATGGTAAATGACAATTTGTTTTTACAGCATTTTCAAACATTCTGCACACACCTCCTGTAACTGTCATTTGTCTGCCTCTCTCAGTTTGGAGGAAAGGAGGTGCTCCAGCATGCAATCCCACAGGTGTTGCAGAAAAACCTACCTAGCAAGGTAATGAAAGCTGTTTCCCCAATTTTCTGCAAAGCACTTATATATGCATAACCCATTTAATTTTCCCTGCAGGAAGTGCTTTTAGATTTGAAGGAAACACATTTGACGTGCACAGACAGAAACAGTAAATTGGTAAGTAGATCTCTCTCACAAAGATTTGCCTGTACTTTAATTCTCCTAAAGTTTTGTCTTCATTTCTCTCATCAGGAGTTGTTTGAGCACCATTATCCCGAGATTTCATGTGTAGGGAGATATGCACAGCCAGACTACACAGCATTTGCCTTCTGTGTGGCGTAAGTATCACATTTTATATGAAAGCCCTTCACTGATATTGCAGTACATCCTGGCAAAATACCATAATCTAAGCTATTTTATTATTAAAGGCTTTTCCACACATCCCTGTTAAACTAGGCTGCTTGTAGTTTAGATCGCACTCCTCCTACGACAGGATGTCATGATGCAATATACAAGCCTAGTCATTGGCTGGGCCCCCATGTCATCTAAGCACATGATTGGCTGTGTTCACAGAGACTCCCCAGAAACCCCTCAGTCCACAGGCTTTTGCTGTGTGGTGCTACGAGCCAGCAGCATCAAGGAGTGCGAAGACATCGTCTGCAGGATTGGTGAGGCATCACGGCTCTCAGACGCAGCCATGTGCTTATAGGCGTGTCACTCAAACACTAAACACTTGTATTTTCCCCCACCTACAGCCACTGGGTTCAAGCATACGGAATGGTTTGTATGACAAACCAGCTGTGACCAACTTTGTGTTGTAAATAAAAGATGTGTATTGACCATATAGACCTCTTCACTGTCTGTATAGTAAAAAAAACAAAAGGACACCTCTTACTACTCATAAAGACCTTTAATAGAAAGACATGTGACAACATTTCATAAATAGTATTAAATGTAGCTGCCAAGATTTTATGTTGGAAAAAACATGTTAAAAAGCCATCGATATATGCAGGGGTTTGCCATGCTCTTTGTTACCAAGTATAGAGAATCAACTGAGGTAGCCAACACCCAGACACTAGGCCTTACTGAGCATGACACGCTGGCATTTTGTGGTAAATGGATTAAAAATCCTGCCCCCCATGGAAGATGGACCCCGGCACCCACAAGTTTAAAGTCAAGTGATGTTACATCTTATGATATGACCCACAATGGATAATCTGAAGCCCCCTTCAGACAAACTCTGTCTCCATTGATGGTACTTTGAGTGAGCACAAGTTTGTGTAGTGACATGTAAGTCTCATTCTTATTGTTTCAAACAGTAGCTACACTTTTGTCAATGCTGATAGTTCATACTGCATTTGTGGCAACAACCCTTTTGCTCAGAGGACAATTATATGCATGATAGCTTGCTCTCAACCATTGCTTGCATTAATGAAGCTTAGACAGAGCAAACCTAGCCCATATCTAATGATAGACAATTGTATGTCTGCAAGGGGCTCGCACTTGCGGAATGATTGATTTGTGTCAAGTAAAAAAACAAAACAAAAAACAACTGTTTAAAAAAAAAAAAAAAAAGCCAAGAAAATAAAAGTCCACAAAATGGTTAAGTATGATAAATAGGATCATTTGTCATGACAATGGAGTCATTAGCCACTTAGGCCCTCTCTCCCCTTATCCTACGTGCCAGCTGGATGTCTTTGGGCATGATGGTGACACGCTTGGCATGGATTGCGCACAGGTTTGTGTCCTCAAACAGACCCACAAGGTAGGCCTCACTGGCCTCCTGTTTAAGGAGAGAGAAAAAGAAATTTAAATAAGCTTCTCGTTACAGTGCTATTACTCTGCAGGTCAAATGTAAATGTTTCACTTACCTGAAGAGCGCCAATAGCAGCACTCTGGAAGCGCAGGTCAGTCTTGAAATCCTGAGCAATTTCCCTCACCAGGCGCTGAAAGGGAAGTTTGCGGATCAACAACTCAGTGGACTTCTGGTAGCGACGGATCTCCCTCAGAGCCACAGTTCCGGGCCTAGCAGATGAATCGAGCAGATATTCAACACTGTAGGCCAGGAAATCTTTATTTCTGTTAGGGGCAACCAGAGTGCCACACACCTGTAACGATGGGGTTTCTTCACGCCTCCCGTGGATGGCGCACTCTTCCTGGCGGCCTTGGTCGCAAGCTGCTTCCTTGGCGCTTTTCCTCCAGTAGATTTACGAGCAGTCTGCTTGGTACGGGCCATGTTGTACTAGCTTTTAGGATAAACGAAAAACAAAAGTCCAGGTCAGAAACTGCTACATCAATAAAGCAGCTCGGCAGAAACGGGTACGACACCAATTAGTCAAGCTAGCGTGTTAGCCTAGCCTACATGGCTAGCACCGTCGGTTCCCCCTCCCCCCCAAGGCGGCCAACACCAACATAAGCAGCGCTACTTTTATACGCCACCGCAGCTTATGTAACAGTTTCCACTAAAGCGAACTAGTGATTATGTCCTTTAACACGTTTCGCTTAACGCGTTTATTAACATACTGACATGAACGATTAAAAATCTTTTAACGGCCCAAGGTAGCCGCAAACAATGGCGTCAAAACAGTGGGAGCCCAAAACAGCCCAGCCAGTTTCTGGTTTTCGACTTCGCCATTTTCAGTTTCTCGTTGTACCTCAAACAACATTGCTTTAACTCAACTCTACAAATGTTAGCAAAAACGGTTATATAAGCTGTTAGCCATTTCGTAAAGATATCACGCTCAAATTTCACGTAACATTTAAACAATTTTAGCATCGTTTGTGAGTTGTAACTTCACTTTATCGAGTCAATGGTGACATTAAACGACGAACCGCAAGACACTCCATTGTTCTGTTTTTAGCTAAGGCTATCGTTAGCAAGCCGACACTTAAACCCTAAAACAAAAATCACAACACATGTCACAGCAAAGACAATACAATCATTAGACGTATTATTAGCAAGAAGAAATACTCACGTTACCTTTTCGACTTTAGTTGAGCGTGAAACTAATCACGAAGACAACACCGGAACCTCCGAAAGCGTTTTCTATGATAGAGGGCAACGAGGCCGACTATTAATACTTTGTCGTGACGTCATACTTGTAAAACGCTACACACTGATTGGGTCAATGGATATAAGGTACAGCCAATGGAAGCAAGCAAATAAAAAAATAAACGTGACCTCGATTCCTTATTTTCTTCAGTTTCACATTTGTGCAAATGCCATAACTCTGTGACAATGTGACAGTTAATATCTTGAGTGTTTTATGACTTTCACTTTAGTTTTGAATCACAGCTTTAGTCACGTTATAACTGAACTTCAAATCCCATAGTTCCGTGTTATTAGTTGTCCCTTTGCTATTACTTCCTCTTGCCCTGCGCAGGCTCACATCGCCACAGAATGCGGATTTCGAAGCTAATGAGAATAGCTAGCCAGTAAGCTAAAAACAAGCTTCTTGTTGTTAGGGTTTAGAAGGGTACAATGTCTAAAACGTATCCACAGCCCCCGTCATCTTCGGTAGCGACGAGTGCCGGAGGACACTCTTCGTCCTCTTCGTCTTCGCCTGCAGGGGGGTCAACATCTCCTGCAACCGTGTTGAACGTGCAGCCCGAGAAACCTCAACATTACACGTACGTAGCTAGTTAGCGGGATTAGCTTGTGTACACAAGTGTACACAACCTCACGTGCACTTAAACACAGAAAACAACTGTTAAAATGTATTTAAGGAAACTCCATGAATAGTAAACCTGCGTAAAATGGACAAAGCAAATAATGTGCTTATTTAGCGCTGTAGGTCTCCATAAAGAGGCCTAACGTTGGACATTAACAGTAGCCATTTCTTACAGGCTGTGCGGTGGAGCATCGTTTAAGTGCTTTGTTGTGTGTGTGTCACGGCAGCATTCATTAAGTCTTTGTGTTGTGAAAGTATATATATATATATAAAAAAAATCTCCGTGAGGAATTTTGCTCACTGCTGCCGAGACTGTGTTGCGCTAAAACAGTAATTATTTTTATGAGATTATCTTCGTGAAAAACTCAATGATATCAATATATTCCTATTTGTGTAGGCCACTTCAAAATATGGTGACACCGTACAACAACATATTTCAGTCTCTTTGGCTGCTCACCTCTTTCCCAGATATCTGAAGGAGTTTAGAACGGAGCAGTGTCCCCTGTTCGTGCAACATAAATGTACACAGCACCGTCCTTTTTCCTGTTTCCACTGGCACTTCCTGAACCAGCGACGCCGCAGGCCAATACGCAGACGGGACGGAACCTTCAACTACAGCCCAGATGTTTACTGTACCAAATATGATGAGGGAACAGGCACCTGCCCCGACGGAGATGAGTGAGTGTAACAAAGGCTTCAGTTTAGCACAAGATACTTGCCTTGATTATACTTACAACAGAAACAAAAATAGGGATTTGTGTAAGGGGGAAGTTTTGTTTTTGAATGGCATAACTGGCCACACCATGTCTGGGAAGGTCTATATTAGTGGTATGTATAGTCTCTGTAAGGTTAATTTAAACAGAAAGACATAGTATTTAACTAAATGTCCACATTTTCAGGTTTGTTGTTGTTTTAGCAGCCCTTTCAAGTTTAATCTGGCAGGAGAATGTCAAATTCAAGTTCTTTATGAAGCGTATTGTGCAATTGTGTAGGTCTCTGAATGTCAATAGACCTTTATTATCTCCATTAAAAGCATCAAAGTGGTAATTCGGAACACAAATGGGCCAAAACTGTATGGATGTATGTCTAGTAGATGCTTTAGCACCTGTACTGTCACTCTGAGGGTCTCCCTCCAGTGAAATGTGCTGTACAATCCTCACAATGACCTATTTTAATATTAACAAAGAAAATGGAGATCTAAAGGATGCAACATGATTCCTGTTCTGTGACATTTTTGGTTCAGGCAGCCCACCATATAATGGCATCTTAGTTGTGGTTAGTTATGGTCAAAGTAGCCCATTTATTTAATTAATTATGTCCCTCCATCTATTTTCCTACCACGGACCCCTTCTTCTGTCTCTTCATAAGTCTCTTTTTGGGACTGATGTCCCTCCTCCTGCACTTCTCCAAAGCTTGCAGCAGCAACTGTTTGTGACTGCGACTTCTTACTAGTTTTTGCTGGTACTACTGACGGTGCAGCTGCTAACATATTGCTTACTTTGGCACATTTTGTTGCATTTATTTCTTGTTTCTCTTTCTTTTTCTCTCTCAGCTTTTCAGTTCCATGCTTTACCTTTTGTTTAGCCATCTTTATCAACCACTTCTTCCACACTAAACTCTATTCTACAAGGTGCATGACTGCACAGGGAAGGTAGGGGCGAGCCAGTGATGGGGCAATCCAAATTCTAATACAAATGAACCAATGGGCTGCTGTCAGTGCTTGTAGGGTAGTGTTAGAGTGCACAGCGGCCCATCAAGCCGACCTGTATGCTGTGTGCATATGGACACAAAAAACATAAAAAATTATATTTACATGTCATGTCTGATTACCAGTACAGTCCTGGTTGGCACCTATGGATAAAGGTGCAAAGGGTATATATTTTGTGATTTGAGCTTCAAATCAGAATACAAAAGTGTCCTTTAAATGTTGTGTGCTTAAAACATCTCACAGTCCTATTTACATCAGCAGTTGCCACAAACAAAGAATTATGAAGTGTGTTTTTCTTTACCTTTTTTTTTAAAAATACTATCCATACAAAACAGTTCATAATTTAAAAAAAAACATTGAAATGTATGCATGATTTGCATGCCTTTAAATAAATAATTTAACATTTTTGAATTTTATTTTTCTACATTCCAGGTGCCCATTTCTGCATCGAACAGCAGGTGACACAGAGCGCAGGTACCATCTCCGCTACTATAAAACTGGATCGTGTATCCATGAAACTGATGCAAAAGGCCACTGCAGCAAGAACGGCTCCCACTGTGCATTTGCTCACGGATCACATGACCTACGCAGCCCCGTTTATGACATCAGGTACACCAAATAAAACATGGAAGCGATCTTTGAAGTAGTTTCTATGTGTGTGGCTGTGTGTTGACAAAGTTTTTTTTCTCATTACGTGCTACATAGGGAAATGCAGGTGATGGAGTCTCAAGGAGGCTCAGGGACCACAGACGGAGGTGGAGGAGATGGGCAGTCGGGACAGGCAGCGAGTACAGCCCTCATAGAGAAGATCTTGAGTGAGGAGCCACGCTGGCAAGGTAACATCTGGAACACCACTTCAGGAGGAATTCAGGCAGAAAAACAGCTCACTGCTCAATCTTTGCTATGTACTATCGGCTTTGTGTTCCTACCTAAGTACTAAGAGAAAGATCATATGTGTGTAGTCATTAGGATATGGATTGCGTTGGTGTGTGGGGGTGTAGCTAGTAGCTGTAGATCGTTTCTTAGTAGTACACAAAAACTCTCTTAATAGAACACAAAGCAAAGATGAAAACCAGGACATGGAGTCTTAAAGCGATCACCACAGTGATTCTAGAAACATGAAGACGTAGAAACAGAGGCTGTAGCCTGACTGCTCATCAGTTTACTTGTTGAAGCTTAGGGTCTGGCTGGTGGGCTGGGGTCAGCACTCACTCTGCTTTAACGTCACTGTGGGTTCTTAGCTAGCTTAGCGTTAGCATGCTGTCTGTGCAGATGGTTGCAAAGAGCTGAAGTTGTGTTAGCAGCATAATGCAAATATCCATGCTGTAGACTGCCACTATTTTCCTCCAACACATGAACTGAAATCAGCTGATTGTAGCATCAGTGCAAGTGGAACTGATAAGCAAGATTGATAAGCAGACAGATTAACAGTTACAAATAACTGGACTACTAGGAGCTGGATCTCTACATTTCTTTTCTAATAAGAACATGAAAAATTGTTAGTCTTCCTACACTGACAAACACAGTAATACAGGATTACCTTAGCTTGCGTACATTTATTAACATATGTTTGCTATAGCGTTTTTGCAACAATTCAACTTGGAGTTATGCATGTTTGCATGAACCTATTCTAATGTGTTAGTCTGAGTTACAGCACAAACTGATTTCTAATCCTCTGCAGAGATTTCAGTTTCCAAAACTCTGTTGTATCCTTTTAGAAATCTGATATGATGCCGTTTGTTAAACAGTGCTTACAGGTGTGAAGTAAATTAGGTTGTGTTTTTACAAAACCTCTTAAATGTTATTTAAAAACATGTTTTTTGCTTTAATTAAATGTATATATCAGTTTTTCAAAGGTTGTGATAACGTACAAGTTTGAACAAGTCTTGAATCTTTTCAGGTCCAATCACCATCCATATTGGGCTGTATTTTGAGATTGTCTGTTTATATAGATTTCCAGTTGCTGTAAGGTCAAATATTTTTACCTAATTTCCCTTGATCTGCCCTTACAGTCTGCCTGCCTCACTGTGTCTTTCCTCTCTCCTCTGTGTCTCCTCAGATAATGACTACGTGCTGTCCCATTACAAGACGGAGCTCTGTAAGAAACCACCTCGCCTGTGTCGTCAAGGTTATGCCTGTCCGTATTATCACAACAGCAAAGACAGGAGACGCAGCCCACACAAGCACAAATACAGGTGCTGTGTTTCATTGTGCTAAAGAAAGAAGGCATTTAAAACATGAGGCTATTGTTGTTGCTCAATTGGGGCTCAGTTGTTAAAGCAAATTGTTTGTTTCTTACCACCGCAGAGCGTTGCCATGTCCTGCGGTGAAGCAAAGTGAAGAGTGGGGAGATCCCAGTAAATGTGAGGGAGCTGAGTCATGTCAGTACTGCCACACGAGAACAGAACAACAGTTCCACCCAGAGGTTTGTCTCCTTTAGAGGAAATTTTATAGAACTTGACTGGAAATCACCCAAGATGTGAAGCAGTGTCTTTTTTTTTTTCTTTTTTTGGTTACAGATCTATAAATCCACCAAGTGCAATGACATGCAGCAGTGTGGCAGCTGTCCCAGAGGGCCCTTCTGTGCCTTTGCTCATGTTGAAAGTAAATCCCCACAAAACACCTGTGATCATGTCTCAGAAACCCAAGGCGCCTGATGAGTCAACTTGTAATTTTTGTTTTTCTTCCTCCTCCAGAGCCCTTTGTTC